ACCGTTCCGATCGGAAGTTGTACGGTAAAAACAGTTTTTTATCGAAAAATATGTTTGAAAAATATGTTTGTCTTGGCAATTGCGGGACAAGCTGGGAAAACTGAAATCCATCGCTTATCAAGCTGACGCTGATCGGTGCCGATCCCAATTCGGGGTGGTAAGTCTAGTAGTAAGTACTAATGATATGTTGTATTGTTATAGATTGGTCTTTGCTTCTCTGACATTTTATTTTATTTCTTTCAACACGAAATCAAGAAATAAACGAAATAGACAATCCCCGAGTCCAAAAGGTCAATACAACATAATCACATCAAATCAGATAAATGCAAGTGGGTCCTGCATGGATCAGATAAGTTGAAATTTTTATCTGATCGAAGACTTGGCTGGGCAGTTTTGCTTTTTTTCTTTTGCTTTTTTTCGGTATTTTATATTACTAGATGTCTTTCTTTTTTAAAAAAGAAAAAAAAATTTAATTGGGTAACTTCTCTTGTCTTCATACAATACCTAGTGGGAATGTACAATGTACAGTTCATGAAATTCCGCACTAAGTCAAAGTGGCTTCCTAAGACTCCATCGCCTGCCTAGTCGAGACTCGTCTTTGCCGAGATGGATCCCACATACGCACTGTTATGATTTTGGTGATTGTAAATTTTTATCCTTTGCTTTTGTAATCGGAAACCGCGCTTCCATAGGCATCACATCGTACGACAATATAAATTATATCAAAAATATATAAATTATAGCACATGTAGATCCTGTACCCCTTTTTCCCCTAAAGAAATTCGCATACCTAATCTGTGCTGATTTACATAATAGATGCTGTATTCTACTCAAAAGACCCCATAACATCCATGCATATGCCTCGTGTTTGTCTCCATAGATCCATGGACTAGGCCGGTACCCGAGAGATTAGATCTTCCTCAATTTCCCACTAGGTTTCGGCTCTCTCTTCGGCGATATCGGATGTCTCCCCCGTCTGTCGTTCGTCTTCATACCGAGGTAGGTTTCAGATTGGGCTTTTGTGATTCGGACTTGTTTCGAGCTCCATTATTGAAAGCCGTTGAATGAACCCTATACCGTATAATAACATTGTACCCTTGACCGCTACATTATGAGAAAGTTCAGGCCCACCAAAGAAACATCAGGCCACACTGGACTCTCGGCCGTCAAGCATTCCTCGTCCCTGAAAGGCTGCAACCCTGCAGCCAAGGTTGACTACTGCCGCTATCCCCGGTGCCAGAGTGCCAGAGTGCCAGGATCGTAAGCTACAGAAGTACCTTGCCACCTAGTGTGCGCTGGCATATGCACCCCCAGAGCTCCCATGCAGGTACGTTTCACAGTGTAATGCGTAATGTAAAGTGTAAACCTGTCAATACATATCATATGTACCTGGACCTAGACCCAGTTGGACGCACCAATCAGCCCCGTTCGGACGGAATAGCACTGCCCTTCCCAGGTAGGTATCTTTCCAGAAACCCCGAGAGAAGATCCGGAACTCGGCTTTTATGCAATGCGTTTGATGCTTAGCTGCAGGGTCAATGCAGGGCCAAGAGACGATCTATCTTATCTGACAGGAATGTGAATTTGCGGGGGAAGGGATCGAGGTTGAGGACCTTGGACGCTATAAGCGGGTTGGTCATGTATACCAGATAGTCTCTTCCTGTTGCTCAAAATCCAAGTCATCTCCCATAATAGTATATAGTAAAAGAAATCATTAATGTCTGACGTCAACTGTACAGGATCCGTTCTAAATGTAAAATGCAAACATTTGCTCGTGCCACGTGCAGCTCCAATAATGCAACACCGCGCTGATTTGCATAATAAAACACAGAGTACAAGGATATCAATGCAGAATCTGGTATCAAAAAAACATATGCCAACGCGCTCGGATCTCAGATCGGCTTACACCATGCGTTCGGGGTCCTCGCCGGCAACGCTGCGGTAGCCAGGTCCCTCGTTGGACCGGTTGCCGGTATGTATGCGCATTGGCGTTTCGTACATATCATGGTAGTTTATCACCTCGCCGCCGAGCATCGCTGCCCCAGTCTGACGCTTACCAAAGAGTGGAGCCGGGTCACACCAAAAGTCGCGGCAGTTGGTGACAACACCACGGGAGAAGGGGTTGCGGGGGCGAGCCGCTTGAGGTCCGTCGCGGAGGCCGTCCTTGGCGGTGGTCCAGAAAGCGTCGATTCCGAGGAGAGATGACCATTGTTGGATGCAGCCATTTTTCCGTCGGTGTGGGAGAGGGCCGCCGAGGGCCGGGTTGGGTCCTTGTCCGGAAGCCGAAAGACCAGCAGCTTCCATCGACGTGGTTCCGGCGGTCATGGCCGATGCAAAGGCTTGGGAGCTTGGGTAGGACCTGTCGACGTGGTGACCGCGCATGTTCTCGTAGGTTGTCTGGTTACGGGAGATCTGGACGAGCTGGACGGCGCACAGCATCGTGACCCAGACCAGCTGGAGGGTGATCCACACATTAAGAATCAGCGTGAAGGGGTCGCGGGAGGCGTAGTCACACAGTGTGTCGTTGATAACATTGCAAGTAGCATTGGTAGGAGCGGGGAGAGAATTGATATCTGTATCATATTAGTTGACCGATCCTCGGTAATATTTTCCCTCGTCACGAAGTACTCACAGGCAATAGTCAGCTGCACAAACAGGATGATGCCAACTTCGAGGGAGACTATATAGAGAACAAAATGGCGGAGATTGTTCGCTCCAACGCAGTTATCAATCCATGGGCAATGGCTATTCAAGAATTAGTGGTCAGACCAAGAGAAAACTATCAAGACACACATACTGATCATGTTTCGCAACGCAGCGCCCACAACGCCGACAGTGCCTGCTCCGGAGTGGCTTTCGTGTCATACAGGGGATGCAAAAGTTCTCTTCGTCAAACTTCCACTGCTCGAATAGCTCCCTAACAATCTCTCTCTGTTGATTTCTGCTGCTCACTTTCGGCACATAACCAGGGTCCTGGACCATGGAAAAAATGTAGAAATAAGCAGTCAAGCAGAAGAAGACTGCAAACAAGATGTTCAGGATCGGCGACGATGAGTAGGTTGCTGGCAGCACCTTGAAAGCATAGCGGAAGCCAACCCAGAACAACGTACCTGCAAAGACACCAGCTAGATATGGTGTTTTTTGCAGAACGCGATATTCCATAGGCCCCTTGTTCGCAAATTGCTGTGCAACATACTGCATCCCGAATAGTGTCACTAGAACGAGGGGCACAGCAACGAAAATCGCCAGGTTACTGAGCATCCAGATGGTAACCAGGATCATCAAGAAAGGCCAGAGGAAGAAGAACTTGGCCATGATGCTCTTGTTGCGTACGAAGCTTGCAAGGCCCAGAGGCACCACTTTCTGGGTGCCATCAGGTTCAAAACCACGCTCGTTGAGCGAGCGGTACCAAACACGCAGGGTGTTCATCTCCTGCGCCACAGTTGCAGGTGATTTTCCATCGCGGGTCTTGGCGAAACGGTCGGTGCCGTATTCAAGCAACTTCAGAACACAGGGCATCGAGCCCTTGACCAGCGCCCAATGAAGCGGTGTCAAGCCACCTTCGTCCACGGCATTTGCATTGGCGCCCCATCGCAGGAACAAATCCACACAGGCAGGATACCCCTTGTATGCAGCCCACATCAGCCCAGTATGTCCTTGTTGGTCTACAACGTCCACAGGGATCTCTTGGTGTAGAAGCAGCACGACTAGGAAAGCGTTGCCATCAATGGTCGCGAGGTGTAGGATGTTGTATCCTTGAACGTCCGTCAGGAGGGGATCCCCTCCATTCTGGAGCAGGAGGTTCACAATATAATAATGACACCGTTGGGCAGCCCACATGGCTGGTGTTGCCACCGATTCTCCTCCTTTGGCATTGACGTCGGCCCCAGAGTCGATCAGGAATCTACACATCGCATATTGATTGTTGATTGCCGCCCACTAGAAAGAGACAATGCGGTTAGTAAAGAGATCTTGGTTGTACGTTGTGCTGGGTTGTAACGAACATGCAGCGGTGTAATCCCCTCCTCGTCGCGGTGGTTCGCGGTGAACTTTTTAGCCGTGAACAGTTTCTGCATAGTGCCAATCTCCCCCATCCGAGCCAACTGCATAATATCCTCCCCCAGAGGGATTGAGCCTTTGGGGGATCAGGGCGCAAGCTCTTCATTTCCACATCGTTTGGAGGAGTGAGTGTCCCGTTGCCATTTGAGGCGGAGGTGGAACCGGAGGTCGGGCCCGGGCTGGGGTCCCAAGATTCTGGAGAGGTTTTGGTAGACATTTTTGGTTGTCTACTGTTTAATATGTATCGAATGCCACTTGGGGGCTGGAAAGGAGGCTCGATTCGAGGACTGGACTGTTTTGATACGGTAGTCTAAAGGAACATCGCGGTTCCGTCGCCGGCGCATCCACTGAGGTTGAATTGGTTTTTAGGGAGCACAACTCAGAAAGTATAAAAGATGGTCAGGTAAATGGTCGGAGGTAAATGGTAAGTGGTTAAACAGAATCCAGAGTGTTGGAAGGTTGAGAAGGCGGACTCGGATTTGCGGAGACGCTAATCGACACGCGTCGGCAGGTACACTTATGCTTGTGCCTTGTTGTATGTTGTATGTTGTATTCTGTACTCTGTACTCTGTACTTTGTAGTGAAGTTGAAAACAAGTTTAATCTAATTCTCTAATTCTAATTCTCACCTCCAAGGATGTACTAATTGCTCCTTTTTTTTTTGAGATTACTCAGCCACAGGCAGCCGCATTCTCTCGGCCTCTCTTCTCGGTTGATCTGCCGATCTTTATATATCAGCTTATATGCGATAGTTACAAGTCATATATAACTATATGGAGTATATACAAACCCATTGTTGGCTCTTACAAACTAATAGAGTCTCTCTATATCTTACTTTAAAACCCAACAGCCTCGGGTCTACAACTCGTTTCTTACTTGGATTCCTTCATATTCTGCAGTTATGTATATCATATTGACCTATAAAGAAACTAGAACCCCAAATCAAAAATTACCGGCATGTGCACCCGGGCACTCGGGCGTGCAATTGGGACCAGGCTTCGGGAAGCGATTCATACGAGTCCAAAGGCCAAAAAGAAGTGCAGCTCTACCGTCATCCGGTCCCTGGGACCCAATCTGCCATCTACGATCTTCATCCTTGGCCATGCGATCAAAGCTCCGCGCATACTCATCCTCCTCGGAATAGCCGTCAATAGTAAGTCGTCCTATCTGCATAGACAGCATATTGAACATCTTCGAAACTGTGAGAGGGAGCTGCCCGTCCTTGATAGTGACCAGCTCAGCGATCTCGACTATAATATCTGAGAGGTTGCAGCACCGGTCCGAAAAACAGCCGCAAGTCAGCTCGTTGGGATGATCTGAATGCTCCGTCCATCCAGAGAGTGTGTTAGCTATACGACGAAGCTCGGTTTGGATTGTCGCGACGTCCAGGCCTGAAATATCCCCGGCAGCCAGTCCCTCGATGTATAACACGAAATCATTTCGCGAGTCGTCGAAAGATTCTCGCAAGGCCTGCAGGGTTATTGTGTCCATATTGATGATTAGTGTAGGTGTCCGGATAGAAATATTTGGTTAGATGGCTGGAGTCGAGGGTGATGTACTATTCAACCCTTTTATACTCGAGCATTCAATCTTCGTTGGCTTCTGAAATACAATGCTCTTTGTCTATGGACCAACAAAGGCTGAAAGATATATATAATAATCCCAAATGAACAATCAGAGGTTCTTTCGAGGCTATGTAACTCAGTTTATCCTCCTTAATGGATTTGTATAAAGAACTTGTAACTATAAAGAATCTCGGGGCTTTGATATACTTGCATGATATATTTTCTACAGCTTCTCCCGAGAGTTGTTCATAATATAGATATATAAATATAAAAGTAGATATTACAATAACGTCCAATTAGCAAGTAACTATAATACTCTGTACTCTGTACTCTGTACCCAGACCGATCAACTAAGGTGGAGCTCCACTCTCGGAGCTCCTTGTTTATCAGGTCTCCGCATCACAACTCCCCTCAAAAACAACAATGGAAGACACTTTGACCGACAAGCTCATATCAATTCTCAAGGTTCGAAATATCCCAGTCAAGCGGGAGGTGATTGAGTCGGCATTGGAGGATGATAGAAATGCGCAATGGGCGTCTACGCATCTCCGTCCCGACACCCTGCTATCAAAAGATGAACTCGCGTTGTACGTTTGATTCGTACCCCTAATTACAGGACATCACTGACTAGAGTTAGATACCTCAAGCTTGAAAACTCCGGTGCTCTTCAACCTATTCTCAGCAACCCAGACCTCGGCGCAACACGGCCTATCCTCGAAGACGAACTCCGCAACGCGATCGAGTCCCTTGAAGCCTCAACGGCAACAATTCAGAAACAGACCGAGACTTTAAACTTCCAATGTGCAAGCCTTAATAAGCAATTGGGTCTGGAAAAGAATGTGGAGCAGCAGCGGAGCCGGGATATCGCTCGGCTGCAAAAGAAACATGAAGCGGGGAGGCAAAATACAACAATGGCGGTATGGGGCATGTCTGTTACAACACACCGTCGCGTGTTGCTGATCCTAATTCGATGTAGGCAATTGAGCTTGCAGATGAGTTGGAGGCCGATTTTAAAACCGCGACGGACAAGTCGGGCGCGGAAAGCAAGAGAATACTCGCCTCTCTGTCTACCCGATTAAAGAAGGACGACAAGGCACTCGCAAGTCTGGAAACGCTCATGTCCAGCATAAAGTATCGTGGGAATGATGCATCTACGGTCAAGCGCACCAACCATCTGAGTGCGATGCTGTCAGACTACGTGGCGGAGGAAATACACTATCGTCTCGATCGACTATATCTGGAAACAATTCACGCAGGCGGCTCAAATTCCCATGCCATGGATGGGGTAACGAGCACTGCCCTCGAGGAAGAACTAGAATCTCTGTATCCGGAGATCGAAATCTTGGCAGAAATGTCAACCAGGCAGCAATTCCATGAGCCTATCCTCCGTGAACTCCAGAACGAGCACGACCAGCTGCGAGTGGCGTCGCAGGAGAAACTAGAACAGGTATGAGGCTCTACCTCGGCACATGCATCGATCAACAATGAACTAATCCATACTTCTAGGCACTCGACATGTTGATCGAAATGACTTTGTCAAAGCAAGATCTCACAAACCAACTCGGGGTCCGGGAGTCGTCCTTGGAACTGTTAGAACAGCTAGCCGTGTTATATCAATCCGAAGCAGGCAGCGAACTCGTTACACAGCCATCATCCCGACGAGAGTCTCTGCGACGCCGATCGTTACAACCAGGCCTCCTTCTCGCCACCCGCATGCCCACTGCGCCTGTAGCTGCCCAACCATCACTCGAAAGAATTTTGAGGAGTGTTGGTGTACCACCGGAATCAATCCTCCACCCACGCGAGAATGGAGGGGTTAGTGACCTCCATGAGAAGCGATATCACATTTCCGAAACACTTCGTGGCCTCAGTATAGCTGTAGACGCCCCTCTGGTGACTTCTTTGGCACCGTTGGATAATGCATCCCAGCTTCTTTGTTGCTCACTGCACGCCAACTCTCGCTATGAAACCTCACTGCGCGATCCTTCGGAGGAATCAACGCTCTCGGGCCTCGAGAAAGAACTCACCAGTCTTCAAAATGGGATCCACAAGCTCAATTTGGATGTTCTCCACCAGCGTGATAGCAATCAAGAGAGATTAATTGAGAGGTGGACATAGGAATTGTGGCGAAGCTTCGCTGCCCAGACCCGGTCCCCCCTCACCTTTCTTTCTTTTTTTTTTCTTTTCTTTCTTCATCGTTCTATTGTTACTATGAATCTGCGCATTCATGAATGAGATTCCGTCTGATCTCACAGTCGAAGATGTCAATGGTTGGCTCTTAATCGCCGTTGGTTGTTTTAGCGCCAAAGTGGCTTGACCTCTGATTTGACGCTTGGCGGTGGCTGAAGGATTCCTTCACCACCTGGGCAGTGCCTGGATGACTTACTCCTGAATAATGTTGCGCAGTGAATATTTCAGGCAGTGATGCCAGTCATTGTACAGGGCATAGGACACTATTCTCCGAAAAAGTTGGTGTTGGTTGTGCTATGGACAATAACAGGTCGCGTCGTATCTTGACGCTCCACGTGCCTCTTCAAGTTGTGCCTCACTTGGGAGCATCTTGCTAATCACACTATATCAGGCAGTGATATGATCTCCTTTCGGAGATGAAAATCCAACTTTGCATTCCTAGTGTGGTGGAAGAAGTTGAACATAGGACTTTATCACCAGGCAACTAGTCTTCAAACCCGCTGACTCGTTGAACTGAGCCCTGGTGACCCCCAGGTTTGTATTACTCATTTCTGGGAGAGAGAGAGAGAGAGATAATATCAAATATCAATATTTAATAACTTTGTCATAGGTCTTTTTTCTGCAAGGAGAGGTTGTTTTGAAATTCATGTTCATTGTTGATATCTCATCAGGCTCTTTGTTTTCAATCTATATCCGACCTTTACTTTGTCAAGTCTTTTTGTTTCGAGTCAAATATACCAATACTCTTCTCTATCTTTACTCTTTGAAAGGAATCACCTGCTTTGCCATTGTCCACATGTCTTACACATATTGTGTCCGGCAATTCGCCTGTGCTGTAATCAACGAGGTTCGTCGAATCCCATTGCTTTATTTCTTTATTTCTTTATTTCTTTATTTCTTTATTTCTTTATTTCTTTATTTCTTTATTTCTTTATTTCTTTATTTCTTTATTTCTTTATTTCTTTATTTCTTTATTTCTTTATTTCTCTATTTTTCTATTTTTCCCCAACAACTCCCTTGTTTCAAGGGTGTCTTTGTTTCCAGATGCATTGTTCCGGGCTCATTTATCATCACTCTATTGCCCTCGAAGTTATCCTCGGGTTTCATCGAGTATCGAGAAGAAATTAACAGAAGACAGAGAATACGACAGCGCACATACCTAGACTCGACAGATATGAGGTACCAACCTTCCTATTCGGTTTACAGATCAGAACCTGTTCGGGACTTCAGTTCCCGGTATGGACCGCCAGTCCATGAACCGCCAGTCCATGAACCGCCTTCCAGACTCTTTGTGGTTGATCCCCCGGACTATGAAATGGCCTCTCATTATGCTAGAAGGAGATATGACTCAAATGTGCGATTGTCGGTCAAATTAGAGACACGACAGCCTCGGTACAACAAAACACACAAGAAAGTTCGGTTCGATGACTCCCGTTATGAGTGTGAAATTAGATACCCGACACAGAGTCCCTCACGAGGATATGAACCTGAATTCAGATACCCGCAATATTCCTCGCGAGACCCCCGATCCCAGAATACCTGGGACTCAACCCCTACTGCTATTCGGTACGAAACAAGAGAACCGAAGGTCATTCGCCATGGATTACATGAAATATCGGGCTCAGGTCGGCGCCTCCTTAGACAACGCGGACGAGGGCCATCCATTTGGTCGCTCCATCCGCATTAGGTCGCTCGCGTATATATCTTCACCGGGGAACCAGCGTGTCGAGACATTCGCAGATATTGGATAAAACCGCTCCCCTGGTTATTGAGGATGTCTTTCCTTCCATTTTTTTCAGCAGACTACGGGTCTAAACTGGACTGAACATTTATCTTTTCCTCCTAATCCCGGCATAAGCCTCGAGAACAACACTACCAATCCTGGCAGACTCTCGACGATGACACGAGTTGTATGTGTGGGTGTCGGTCAGATGGGAGACGCCTGCGACACTGAGCTTAACAATTATGTTGGCCTGACTGCAACGGAGCTATCGCGTCTCTAACTTCACTGACAATCGTGCATATGACTCGTATTGTCGTCGAGAGTCTGCTAGGATTGGTATGTGAGTCTCGTGCCGGGATCGGGAGTTTTGAGCCTTTTTTTTTTGTATTTTGTATTTTTTTTTTTTTTTTTTTTTTTTTTGTATGGAACTGGGCTGAATATATAGGGGTTTGGGTTGTTTCTATTTTGTTTTCTGATCTGAGGGAATATACTCTGTGTACTTTGTATAGTTACCTAGGTAGATTCCTACAACATAAGTCCCAATGTTAAAGGTCACATGTGGCGATTTGCTTATCTCCCCTTTTTTGCCTCGTCGCTATTCTCCTTGTGTTCATTCCGAATCCATTTAATTCAATATCTCATTCGATTTATATTCGCAGGTATCTAGTTTATTAGTATTTAGATTTCAAGGTGAGTTGAATATTTTTGGGGATTAATGATCAGGCTCTCATTCCATGTAGAACTCCCAAAACAACTTACCACCCTCACCCCACGATACGACTTCTACAAAGAGCACCCTCCGTCTCCCCCCGTTAATCGAACTCGAGATCCGCACCATAAAGAGAGCCCAAGTCCCAACAGAGGCCAGAAACCACTTGTTGGAAAATGAGATACCCAGCCGGGGAACCACCATCCACCCCAAGGTCCAGGTGCCCTCTACTCGCAACCTACCAAGCCCGCACCTGCGCGTAGCAGTGAAAACAATCCACACGTGCACACCATGGCCACCGCCGTAACACAAACCACAACCATGTCCGTGTCCCAAGACACAGATTCCAACCAAAACGCAAACCCCGCGCCAACCATGCTGAAACTCGGCTCGCCGCTGGATAATATTGACCGTCAACAGCCCGACGATCCTGATTCGTCGCGGACCCCCGCCGCCGTGTTTGATATTTCGCCCGAGGCTGCATTGCACTTGCTTTGTTTGAATATTGAGCGGCTAGGCGCTTACTTTGCCCAGAAACCTGTCGGCACCGATGAGCTGCATGTGCATGGCCCCGCGCCTCTGGATTACAATACCCCTGCGGAGGACGAACCCGAGGTGAATACTGTCGGGTTGCATGTTAAGGACTCGGATGACCCTGTTGACCCTGTAAGGGCGACAGAAGAGGCGATCCAAATGGCCATCTTGGCGAAGAAGTTTCTGTCAAAGAAGGTGCCGCCGATCCCATTGAACGAGTATCTGCTTCGTTTACATAGGTACTGTCCTATGTCTACGGCAGTCTATCTCGCAGCTAGCGTGTATATATCTAAGATGACCCTGGTCGAGAATGTGTTAAGGGTTTTGCCCAAGAATATGCACAGGCTTGTGCTTGCTGGTGTTTGGGTTGCGTCAAAGGCTCTAGAGGATCTGAGCTATCCCCATAGCCGGGTTGCGAAGGTCGGTGGAGTCAGTGAGCAGGAATTGTCAAAACTCGAGATCAGCTTTTGTTTCCTGGCCGACTTTGAGCTGCGTGTTGATGCGCAGATGTTGATGAATGAAGCCTTACGCCCTCCGACTACCCTGGAATAACATCCAGCCAGATCATATACTGTGTTTTGTCTCATATGAGGTCATATTACATTATGTGGCCTTATCTGACTAGCTAGGTGCTGTCTGATGTTCAAACAGTTATTTACTCTGACCATCTATGGAGCTTTAGTCTAACCCCCCATCAAACTCCCCAAAAACACCAACCATGAGTGATATACAGTATGCAATATATTCGCGAATCGAACACGCTTGAAAAGAAATACCGGACGGTCAAGTCTGGTTTGTCGAGGCCATGTGCACTGGAGGATAGTACCAAGTGCAAACAGCGATGATGAAGTAAACCAGCACACAAAGAGCACCTTCAAGGTAATTGGACTTGCCATCTCGCAAGAAATTCCCAACGACCAGAATCGAGAGCACCAGGAGGACAACCATGAAGATCTCGAAATTCAAGCTCATATCCTTGTCCATACCCCAGCCAACAATGACGGTGAGCGGTGCGTTCAGCAGTGCTGTCTGGATTGAAGGGGCGAGACAGTGGAAGAGTGCAAAGTTGATCTGGTTGTCCCAGGCTTCATCGATGGCCGTGAGGTGCTCGGCGGCCTTTTCCACCAGAGGGACGAGAATCAGACCGAGAAAATTGTCCGAGACGCCGCGCTCCACGATATACTCGATTTCTTGGACTAGGAAGACGGCGGACATGCAGACGCATGCCAGGGAAATGGCGATGACAACGAAGCATTCTATCATGGTGAGCTTTGCCCTCGCCGCTTCTTCGTGTCGATCTTCATCGTGGTGTTCGTCTTTCTCTAGAATCTCATCGAAAATGGAGTTGTGGCTGTGCAGGTTGAAGAAAAGATATCTATCGCAGAGGTGTCAGTGATTAGAACTATAAGTAAGAGCTCAGGCTACTCACATCAAAAATGCTACGAGAAGGATCACCGAAGTGGCACGGCTAATCGTCAAGGCATATTCGTTCAATTGCGCCAGAGTGAAATGTTCGTTGACGCTTCCACGCAGCGCAGAGTAGAATGCACTCGGAATCAACAGACCAAACCCGGCGACAAGGAGCAACCCAGTACCAACTTCACTGATGGCTTCGTGGAAGGTTTGCTCATGACGCTTGATACCGCCGACAAAGAAACACATTCCCAGGCAAAGTAGGAGATTTGCCATGATGGAACCGAGAATAGCGGCCTGGATGACAGGAATCAGATCCGAGTGTTCGGTCCGGCCATGATTATACAACAACACCATAAACAGCACGAGTTCCACCACCGCGCCCAAAGTTGTTTCCACAACAATACCTATCATCTTTGGCAACTTTTTGGCTAGTTCTCCGCCGGCAAAGCCGAGCACGTTTGCCGAGGGTACCATGGCGATGTAATTGAGGCTGAAGATCCAGACGTGAAGATCGGGTCGCGCAAAATAAATGGCGATTGCGGCGGGAACAAATGGCCAGAGGATATTCACCACCATCGAAAGCGTGCAGACACTCTTAAAGCATACCTTGAGCAGATGCCATGGGTGAATTCCACTTCGACCGCTCTCTCCAGCTGTGTCCACTCGAAATAAGGCCCATGCTCGTTTAGAAGTGGTGGAGTTGGTGGGTAAGATCGAGTTCTGCGAGGGCTTCTCCTGGACGGTCTTCGACGGGTCACTCCCACGGAGACGGAGGTCAGGGTTCTGTGAATGGGTTGACCTGATTGAGCCCATTTTTTTTTGAGGAAAAAAGAACCCCCGATAGCTCTTCCGTATAGATCGGGAGGATGGAAAAAGTATACGCAAGGTACTAGACTGGGAGACTAAAATTCAAAATCAAAATCAAAATCAAAATCAAAATGGGAAACTCGATAAATGCTAGAAGAAAAGATGCAGGGGACAAGAAGAAAGCAAAAAGCAAAAAGCAAAAAGCAAAAAGAGCTGGGGGGACTGCAGAGACTATACAGCGTCTGGGCATACACCAACAATATAAAGGAGGCCAAATCAAAACAGTGGGATGCGCTGGCATTTCACTGAGCCAATCAGCCCCCTCGAATATTTCAAGCTGAACAGCCAGGAGTTCTTGGCATAGATAGTTACGGAGTACAGTACTCTATGATGTTTTTCCCGTGAATGTTGTATCTCATGTCCCGTATTGGGGTTGGGCTCAGAAAGAAATATATATATAGTTATATATATATATATATATATTAGTGATGATACTGCTATGCTCGGCCTTCAGAATAGGCCTCTCTCGAAAATATCTGTGTATTATTCCTATTCCTTCTTTCAGGGGATGAAACGCCAATCGAGAGTTGTGGGGATCCATTCCTTGCACAGCCACGGCCTTAGACCTTTTAAGTACAACATACGGAGTACTCCGTCTAGAGTATATTGTAGCTTGAGCTTGATCTTGGTAAATATAAACCAAGCATCGGTGGATATCGCCCAGTTACTACAACTAGTAGGAATAGTATTTAGCAAAAGTTAGGGCTAGTAGTGAAAGTATAGTATATTCCATTTGCATATAATAGTTCAGACATTAGAATTGTACTTAATGCGCCCTTTTTTTAAGATATAGAATAACTAGTTCTGATCTATATAGTTATACTGAATATATACTAGGGTTGAATATACTAACTAACTAGTTAGTTATAAACTAACTAACTAACTAACTAACTAGTTAGTTAGTTACCTAGTATCTTTTATATATATCATATATATCATAGTATAATATCATATAATATAGTATCATATAAAATATAAACCTATAACATAACCTATAACATAACCTATAACACCTTTATAACAAAATAGTAATAAAGTCCATGGGCCCACCTGATCATAGACCCGGTTATCATCGGGCGGGGCGCAAAAGTCGATGGCGAAATCTTCGACTTCCAATTGTCAACTTCCTTCTTCTTTACACTCCCTCACTCACATCATCATGGCTTCTACCACTACCCCCGGTATCCCCTTGGTCACCTTGGACACTATCACTCAGCAGATCGGCAACACACCCCTTGTTCGATTGAACCATCTGCCCCGCTCTCTAGGAATCGATGCTACCGTCTACGCCAAGTTGGAGTACTTCAATGCCGGTGGTAGTGTTAAGGATCGCATTGCCCTGCGCATGATTGAAGAGGCTGAGCGATCTGGTCGCATCAAGCCTGGTGATACTCTTATTGAGCCCACCAGTGGTAACACGTAGGTTCTTTTCTGCTGCTCTTTCGATTCGAGAGCGATCATAGGCGCGGAACGCTAATTGAGTTTCAGTGGTATTGGTCTGGCATTAGTTGGTGCCGTCAAGGGTATGTGTTATGTGTTTTATTGTCTAAGCTGTGCTTGTCTGATCCGTCCTAATTTGGTCTATTCTTCTCTACTCAGGCTACAAGACCATCATCACTCTTCCGGAGAAGATGTCCGCCGAGAAAGTCGCCGTTCTGCGTGCCTTGAATGCCACTATCATCCGAACCCCCAACGAAGCCGCCTTTGACTCGCCCGAATCGCATATCGGCGTGGCTAGACGCCTTGAGAAGGAATTGCCTAACGCCCACATCTTGGATCAGTATGAGAACCCAAACAACCCCTTGGCACACGAGCTTGGCACTGCCGAGGAGGTCTGGACCCAGACCAATGGCAAGATCAGTGCTATTGTCGCTGGTGCTGGAACCGGTGGTACGATCACCGGTCTTGCCCGTGGTTTGCGGAAGCACAACCCCGATATCAACGTGATCGCCGCCGATCCCTTTGGTTCCATCCTCGCTCTGCCTCCTTCCCTCAATGAAGCTCGTGCCAATGAGCCTTACAAAGTCGAGGGTATTGGATATGATTTCATCCCCGAGGTCTTGGACCAGGACGCCGTGACCCAATGGATCAAGACTGAAGACAGGGAGTCTTTCAAGTACTCCCGGCGTCTAATCGCCGAGGAGGGTTTGCTGGTCGGCGGTAGCAGTGGCAGTGCCATTGCGGCTCTAGTCAAGGCTAACGAGGCCAAAAAGTTCTCCAAGGACGACGTCGTCGTTGTGATTCTTCCTGACAGTATCAGAAGTTACCTTTCCAAGGTAGGATTAAGTCCTTTCCCCCGATTTATTTTGCTATCAAGCTAACCGATTCAAGTTCGCCGATGACGACTGGCTCGCAGCCAACGATCTGCTCCCATCGCTTCCCGCCGTTGCATCGACAACTCAAACCCAGGCACCGGAGGCTAACGCTCTGGCCAATGCCAAGGTCAGCGCTTTGCGCTTGAAGCCCATCACTACTGTGACCGCCAACTCCCCTTGCGAGACTGCCATCGAGGTCATGCGCGACCGAGGCTTTGACCAGCTCCCCGTCCTTGCCCCCTCTGGGCGCAAGCTCGTTGGTCTCGTTACGCTGGGCAACGTTCTCAGCCGACTGACGCACGGCCGGGCCTCGGGCCAGAGCCCCGTCTCCGAGGTCATGTTTGACTTCTCAAAGATCTCCGAGGTGGTCACCGACCCCCGTGATCTGTCCAAGGGTATCGACTCCCTCAAGCCCCGGACCCGGAATCGCAGCTTTATCGAAATCACCATGGATACCCCTCTCAGCGTCCTGAACCGCTTCTTCGAATGGAATAGCGCTGCGGTTGTGACCGAGAAGGATGCAAGTGGTGCGATGAAGCCATTGGCCATCGTTACCAAGGTCGACCTGCTCACTTGGATGCTGCACCAGTCCAAGACGAAGGCCTAGAGATATGGGTTTCTTTGTTTCCTGAAACGTATTCGCATGAGACATGGCTTGTTGGGTAGGGGTTCAACATTCCTGGACCTTTGATATTTTGGGATAGGCGTTTCTCTTGCGTTGGCATGAAGGCTTCCCCTATGGGATTCAACACATGGGATTGAAATATCTAGATCGTGTAACGCAAAGGCGTTGAAATGTGATAAATACATAATACACACCATAGAGTATATATATATATATATATATATATATATATTATTATTATTATTATCACCATCATCATCATCATCATCATATATATAGTTCCTTTTCTTTTTGATATTCGGTTCGGCGATGACGTTGATTGAGATCAGGGAATCCTCTCGACCCCGAGACTTTGCTCACTCCAACTCACAAGCCAAGATGGCAGGAATCTTTACATATCCGCACTTCTCTCTGGGACACATACCGACATTAAATGGGCGGGTGGCTGTAGTGACAGTGAGTTCCCCTCTTTATTATATCTCAGCCTAACAATTAACTCCCTATAGGGTGGCCAAGCAGGCATTGGCAAAGGCAAGCACAGCCCCTGGTCTCTAGCCAATTGAAAAGTCTCCTGCAGAGTATAATAATGAAATACAGAGATCACCACTCAGCTTCTCTTACATGACATAGAGAAAGTGATCATCATTGCCAGAAGTGAAGATAAATACATCGCTGCTTGCAAGGAATGGGGACACCGCAAGGGCATCTTACTGGAGAATGACACTCGAGTTGAGTTTGTCAAATGCGATCTGGGGGATATTCAGGATGTCAAGGCCGCAGTTGAGAAGATAAAACAAATAACAGACCGGATTCATATACTGGTTTGCAATGCAGGTGAGCCCTCTCTCTCTCTCTCTCTCTCTCTCTCTCTCTCTCTCCATCTTACCTGATCATGACTACCCTAAAATGAAGCCATAAGTGTCCAAAATGAATACAAGCGTTCACCTCAGAATATTGAGCGTGTATTCGCAACGAACTGCGTAGGACACCAAGTCCTAACTACATTACTCCTACCTCTGTTGAAGAACGGCGTGACACTTAGCAACGACGGACGAATTGTTGTGACCAGCTCATCGTTCCATTTTTGGTGCCAACAGCTCAATCTGGATCTTCTGTTCTCATCATCACGCGTCAAGTGGCCGGCGTTGTACGATGGAATATGGCGGTATGGCCGGTCAAAGTTGGGGAACATCCTCTTTGCTAAAGAACTCAGTCGGCGGCTTCTGGAGGATGAAGACCCAGCGAGCAAGCAGATCTATGTCAATTCGTTCTTCCCGGGCAACATCGTTACTGATCAATGGTTCGGGTGGGATTCTTATTTTGGGAGATTCCTCGGTTGGCTTATCAGAGCGGCAGGATCGTGGTTGGGCCAGAGTCTGGAGGACGGTGCTACTACAGCTCTATATCTTGCTACTAGTCAAGAGGTGCGAGAACAGAACCATCGTGGTCAGTATTTTATACCTACCGCTACGCTGTGTGAGCCCAGTGCGATATCTAGAGATATGAAGCTTGCTCGAGAGCTGTGGGTGAGTACTATTTTTTCTTTTTCTTTTTCTTTTTCTTTCCCTTTCATGCCGTTGTGTTTCTATCATTGCTGACCATACAGGATTGGATTGATGCCCAAGCTACAGAGACACTGGGATGGGATTGGCAATATCAATAGAAAACCACGTAGTTTCTCAAGGACTCGTGGACCTTTTTTTTCGGAGCAACTTTTCTTTTTTTTTGGTCTTTTCCGGACATAACATATACAAGTAAACCATGATAGGACCACCTATTTACTTTTTCGGACCATCAAGATAAAGGAGCAAACAGTTGTATCACTCACAAGCACATACCAACCCACTCCTCCCAGCGGCGCACTCCAGATCCGAACTCTTCCTGCAAGTCACCCTTGACAGCACCACCAACCACATTAACCTTGACACCGACCTCATGCTCCAGGAGCTTGAAGCTGAAAGCCTCTTGTTCATCATTACCCAAGATTTCTTCTTCGTCTTCCAACTCAGTATCTGCGCTTGCATCCAGAAGACCCTTGGTCTTCGACTTGCGGATGCGATCAATCTCCGCTTCCAGCTTCTCTCTCACCGCGCCCGGTGGTAGTGCAGTGAATAGATCCTGCTTGTTTGCGGCGACTAGGACAGGGATATCAGTGGTCCGCTTGCTCGATGACCCATTCTTTGCACGCTTCTGGAGGAAGAGAAGGACGTCGTGCAGATAGGTTGCGGTGTCACGGAGCGTCGCTTCGTCAACTAGAGCAGCGGTGTCTACCATAAATACCACGCCACGTATCTTTGTCTTGAGGTCCTTTGACTGGGACATAGCTTGGAGCTCGGCGATCCCTTGCGAGGCGCGGAGCTTGCCATGGCCAGGGGTATCCCTTACACGGTACTTGATTGGATTCCGAACAGCTTCCTTCAGGGAGGGGTCGTTAACCGATCGATAGCGATTAGATCCGGTTGGGACAGTTGGTGGTAAGGTCACCGTTACTAGGGTTGATTGTTGGGAGGTGTGGGTGTCGTGCGACTTGTTCGAAGCGAGTGAGGATTTGGCCTCGAGCTATAGATTGATTAGTAAGGGATCTACCACTCTGGTTCAGGTCATGGAACCTACCAACGTCGCAAAAGCAGTTTTGCCAGCTCCACTGGGGCCTAGGAGTAGGAAATTACTCGATGGCGGAGACGCTACGGCCTGGAAGAAGAAGATGTGCAGTGCGATCGGGACACCAAAGGTGAATAGGATGGCTATAGCAATGGCGACAAGGTTGCCATCGAATAGCAGTGTGGCAATGCCAGTCACTGAATTCCAATTTGCTTGAGACGACATGGTTGTCAAGTTCCAAGTCCAAAGTTGTGGGCTGACACTTCGACAGGAGAAGCCGCGTTGATAGCACGGACCATGTTCCCTTATCTTAGTGCACATCACCGCTTTTGTATAAAACCCCAAAGAGCTCAAGGGCTTCTTCCCCCAAGGGTTTAGGAATGATGTACATACCAAGGCACCCTATGAAGGGATGATTTTCCTCTCTCTTGACTGGGAGGGGGAATTCAGAATTCACTCTCTGTTCTCCCTCTCTCAAATTCTGTGTTTCTCAATCATATCAACATGAGAGTCCAATTGCTTCAGGTTGCCCTGTTATTTACGGCCGCCTATGGCCAGATCAGTTCTCAGATCACAACATATGATCTGAGTTTCGATGGTGCAGCTCCCGTGAGTCTGCTTTGGGGCTTAGGCAGCGAGTCAACTTCAACTTATAATTTTTATCTCTGTGCCGGTGACGAGACGACAGGTTCATATGTATGTTTCTTTCTGTCTTGACTAAAAGGAAGAAATATAAGAGCTTACCATATATCCAGGATACTCTATCGCAAGTCATCAGCAATGGTGCCTATTCTCCTGGTGACATGGTGTCATTTCAAGTCGACCAAAGTGTCGGTGGAAATGAACCCAATGCATAGTAAGATCATCCCCCTCCCCCAAGAATCAGCGGCTTCATCAATTCATTTTGTGGCTAACCAATATCGCCTGGTTTGAATTAGCTTCCTCAGGATAGTTCTATCAGGCCCTCATAGTGACTGGTCTGGGGTCACCTCCCATTTCACTTTGACCAACATGAAAGGTAGCTTCTCGACCAAAGTAACAGATGCGATCAAGACAATGCAGCCAATTCCCGCCATTACTATGCCTTGGCCTACGGTCGAAGACGATGATCGTCTCATCGAGGCCTCGGAAACCACTTCAACTTTTAATGTATCAGGTCTCGCGGAAAGCGCTTCAATCGAAGTGGCCTTGCAGTTCCCGACCCCAACCGTCAAAGGCGAAGCCGAGCACAATGAGCTGCGCAAACGACAGGTGGCTGCTGCTGCCGGCGTTGGCGTTGGTGTCGCTGCTGCAGTTGACCAACATACTGTCCCATATGGTGAGCAGACTGGCTCGATCAAATATGCCCCAATGCCCAAGAGCGCTGGGACTACTATCGCAACCAGATCGGCCACTCCTCAATATCCACCTTTCCCCTTCTCAATTGCGACCAGCTACCTAGGTGCACCAACCGTACAGTACACGGATACGGCTTTCGCGACATGGACAGCGAACACCATCGAGAACACGGTGAGTTTGATTCTTGAATGCTTGATGTCAGTTGGTTTTGAAAGCTAATCCTTTTGTTTTCTTTTTTTTTTTTTTTGTTCAGGCTGCACCCGCTCCTGCACCCACATTAGACAAGAGAATGCAGAACTGGTTGGACCGTTGGAATGATTGATAGGCTTTCGAGCATGTCAATTTTATTTTCTCGAATATCTTTACATGGCACTTGGGTTGGCGTGGAAACATCCAATGCTTCTGGGAGTTTTCTGATTTATCCAGACTTAGATGTCTTCCTTCATCTTCTATTTTGATTGTTGGTCTATATATCCCAAGCAACGTTTAAATTAAAACGATCAAGGTTTGACTGGGAATATCGACCATCCAATGCAGTTGAATGCAAGAAAATTTTCGCTTTTTGTTCGTAATATGCGTATGCTGGACGATCCAACATTATATATACCTCAGGGGGACTTCCATTCCTCTAAGGCCGGTGTTAATGACGGTGTCACCGTATGACTGTGGTCATCGGGGTGGAACGAGATGTTCTCTCGCATTGCCACATAGTCGCTATCGGCATAGCCAAGTAGCGTCTCAATCTGTGTGCTGCGGTGGCCCTTGATGTGTGTGATTTCAATGCTTCCGTAGTTCACCAGGGCGCGACCGACTTCCTTGGGTTCTTCTCTATGGTGGATAAAGTCGCCATCCAAGGCATCTGGAGATGGTCGATCAACCACTACGAGCCGCACGGATTCCTGCTGTCCAAAATGGCCTTCAACTCCGACTACTCCAGCTGGGAGAAGATTGGCATTGTTCAAAAGTGCGTGGTAAGCTCCATGGTCGATGTATAATGTACCATGTGGGTACAGTCCATGGAGTAGCCAGAATGTCCGTGATTGAATCGGGGTATCTGAACGAATGAATCGGGTATGAAGAGGGGCAGTGGGTGCCTCGTTTTTGTCGTCAGCTGCCACGCCATTGGACTGAGCCTCGAGGTATTGTAGGTATTTCACAATGTCGTGGACGTTTCCTGGTTTTGAGCTCTTGGTGATAACCGTAGTGACACCAGCACTAGTTCCAAGCCGTGCGGCCACAATCTTGGTGCTCATACCTCCAGTGCCAAGAGAGGAGCCTGCCGATGAGACGTCAGCCTCGAGAGAGGAGATATCGGTCACCACCTCAATGGGTTTTGCGTCTGGGTTGGTTCGGGGGTTTGCTGAATAAAGACAGTCGACATCGGTCATCAAAAACAAATAGTCGGCCTTAACCATTGCCGCGGTAATTGCAGAAAGGGTGTCATTGTCACCAAATTTGATTTCCTAGAAATCTTTGGGTGAGATGCGTGATCGTGGTTGGAAGGGAAATTTCCTTACAGAAACAGCCAGGGTATCATTTTCGTTGACAATAGGAATTACTCCCATATCAAACAATTGCCCAAATGTATTTTGTGCATTGACATATTGGGTTCTCTGTATTGAGCGTCAGTGGAGGAACATGCCTGGGCAGATATAATATAAGAGTACATACATCAGCAATATCATTTCGCGTCAAAAGAATCTGGGCCACAGGGACACGAAGATGCGAGAATAGATTATCCCAAAGACTCATCAGTCGACATTGACCAACTGCAGCGAGAGCCTATAGATTTCATTAGCATTTCTATAGAACATATTATATGGGTTTCTATTTCTGTAGAATGGCAGACATACCTGTATGCGCGGCAGATACGTTGGTCTTTCGTCCACATTCATCCTTCGCAGACCAACTCCCACAGCACCAGATGATACGAGGACGACCCGGTGGCCATCTCTATGTAGCTTGGTGACCGTTTCCACAATTAATGTCAAGATCGAAAGGATCGGCTCGTGGGTTTTCTCGTCAACAATCGAACTCGTTCCTGTTACAATCTAGTGGTCAACACTCGAGTCATCGGACAACAGGTATAGATATTCCCCGCACCTAGCTTGATCACAATTGTAAGACCCGATGAGGCCGCCATGGCGCAAATTCTAGTTCAAATAAATCCCCCAGAAACAAGCAAATAAATAAGAAACAAACGAAAAGAATACAGAAAGGCCTGTGCTGTTCACTGCCCCGCGGCGATGAATCGCGGAAGAGCACGTTTTGCCCGACTCCGGCGCCGATTCTGCCAACCACCACCGCCATTCGCGGAGGATCTCGCTTTATCGTGCGCAGTGATGGATAACACTCGACCAGTTCACGATCGAAAATGACAGAATCTCAGTCGCCAGGTGCGGCTGCACCTTCAAATAGAAAGCCGGATACTACAGGCTTCCTCCCCGGCGATGATACCTGGACACAATTCCGCAATATCTATTCCATCCTCACGGGCAAGATGTCCAACGAAGGAATTGAGCAGTTCCGCGTTGCGCGAGACACTCGCAATGAAGAAGCAGACTGCAAGCGCTGTGAGGATCAGCGGGATTATCTTCTTCAATATAGTGAGTTCCTCGGCTAAGAGTTATCTGAGCTGGATTCCTAACAAGATCGATTCATTAAGGTCCTACGATTCGATTCCTCAGCGAAAGCATTCAACAACTAGGAGGCGATCTTCACAATCATAATATCTACTGTCGTCGCTGTCCTGACCGGAAGGGTGGTGGTTTCGACCCGCAATATGGCATCCTGATTTGCGCAAATGAGATGAAGGACCAGGGACACCTTGAAGATACTATGGCTCATGAGATGGTTCATGCTTTTGACCACCTCAGGTTCAAGGTGAATTGGTCCGATAATCTGCGACATGCGGCGTGTACCGAGGTATGTATTATTCTTATTGTCTAAACATGTCAACGTTGGCTAAACCCACTAGATTCGAGCTAGTTCGCTCAGCGGCGAGTGCAGGTGGGCGCGCGAATTCTTCCGAAGAGGGCAGTGGAAGCTTACACAACAGCACCAAGAGTGCGTCCGGCGGAGAGCCATCCTCTCTGTGCGAGCACGCCCAACTTGTAAAGACGAAGCTCATGCCACAAGGGTCGTCAATGAAGTCTGGGACAGCTGTTTCAGGGACACACGCCCATTTGATGAGATCTACCGATGATACCATAACTCATGCAGCGTTGTACTATTCTCCACCCTTTTGTATGATAGATATTGTTTGGATGTACTATATTTCATGGGTTTTACTAGCGACACAAACCTTCCCATCTATAACTATACTGGGTATTCTTTTGCGGCTTTGTACGAGTAATAATAGGCATCACTATGTATCATCTAATGGCGGGTACTAGCCCTAGAGAGGTGATATGGGATCAAAATATACATGTACCTATAGTCTATAGTTAACTACTAACTAGTGGTTGCCAATGAAATCGGGGAACACAAGCTACAAATACAATCTCATCCTATTCTTCGCCCTATGTGCTGGTATAAATGACAGCTGGCCATATCTTCTTGTCAATTTGTTAGAATGTATCATGTTGTATTGAACAGGTCGGAGGCGAAATAAAATTAAGATCAAAATATCGCCATATCGCGAGTAGCTCTCCAGCTTGACTCCAACACAAAACCCAGCACGCCTTGAAAATGCTTGCAGGCTCAGAACACCAAAACTCCACGTGAGAAACATGTCAAAAGAAAAGATAACCAGAACTCCCAGAAACTCTATAATGCAAGTGGCAAGTCATAGGTTATGCTTTGCCCTCCTTGGAAGACGCTGAACTTCGCTTTACAGTTCGATCATCTTTCTCACAGTGCTTGACAATCCAAGGATGACGCTGGATCTCCTCAAGTGGAATTCTCTTCGCGGGATCAAGAACAAGAAGCTAGATATTAGGTGAGCAAGTGGGCCTTATATATTGATAGAAAGATCAACTCACCTTCTTGATAAGGTCCTTTGCCTCCGGGCTTACGAAGGAGGGGACTGACATATCTGCCCTGGTAATCCGCCGTTGAGTCATGACAGGGGTATCCTCGAACGGAGCCTCGCCGACCAAAAACTCATACATCAAAACACCTAGACTCCACAAGTCCACCTTCTCGCTATAGTAATTGTCCTTGGAACCATGAGCGAGCATCTCTGGGGGCAGGTAGTCGAGAGTTCCACACATCGTTTGGCGTCTGTTGTTGGGGGCATGGACACTCCAACCGAAATCACTGATTTTGATCTCTCCGTGAATACCAACAAGGATGTTTTCAGGTTTGATATCACGGTGCATGACATGTTTTTTGTGTAGATATTTCAATGCTGCGGCCATCTGTGCAATATATTGTGCGGCCTTCCATTCCGGGAACCGATGCTCCTTGCGAAGATGCTTGTACAGTTCACCGCGGCCAGCAAACTCGAGGATCAAGAAGATTCGTTTGCTGTCATGGAAGTGACCATAGAGCCTCAGCACATTAGGGTGACGTAGGTTACTCTGAATCTCAATTTCACGCCTGACTTGTTTTTGGACACCACCCTGTTGTAACTCAGACTTGTGTAGCACCTTCAGTGCGCAGACGAAGCCAGAGGAGCGTTCTTTGGCAAGATAAACTCGCCCAAACTTGCCCTTGCCCAGTGGTTTACCAATTTCAAACATGCCCAAGTGTAGGTCCTTGGGGACAGTTGACTGCTCGCAGAGGGAAGAGGATGTACGTTGGTCGCCATTTTCATCGGTGCTCCGGGTCACCAATGCGCCATGGGATCCCTTGCCTGGCGATGCTGGAACGTTCATGGCATTTGCCTTGTTTTCATTATTATTTTGAAGAGCCAATTTCAGCAGTTGAGCTCGATTCGAATTGCTGTTTGACTGGACGGAAGAGACCGGTGCCTTAGAAATCAGATCAGCAAGGTGGATCTCCACCAGATTTCATTGAGTCAAGTAGCCAAGTACCTTTTGCTTGCCATAGGTTCGATCACTATTTCCATTTTCCTTCTCATCTTTCATGGACAGATGCTCAAAGCGAGCTTCGAGCGTCTTGGTCGTCGCCATAGTGAGAGGGCGTATGGGATCAATGGAAGGCGAATAAGGAATGGGAAGAAGAGAATAGTATAAAAAGTAGCCAAGTCTGGAGTTTAAGTCTAGTTCAGTGCAATCATGGTCACTTTGCACGGGGTTAGTCGTTGGTCGATGGGGGATATCGCAAAGATGGAGAGAGAAACAGAAGCTCGGATGTTTGGGCGATCTCCAGAGCGTCACCCCAGCAACGCCCGGCTGATGTAATATATGTACCCTATCACACCGCCAGCCTCTTCCGCTCTCAGCGTTTATGTTGTATGTATACAATATATCACCATACCAATAGTATTCTCGGAGAATATATTGTAGTTGCAGCTTGAGGTGTTCTGTGTATATTGGGATACCGTCTTTAAAATAATTGAAAAATGCAGATTCATTGACTATCAATATCAAATCAACGCCTCTGAAGCCTTTCAAAATTCTGCCGAACAAATAATGTTGGAGGGTCGGACCGCCTCTTTCTCCGTCCGCGGGGTTATCGCTATCAGCTCCAATCGCAAGCATCCATACACGTACATAGCCCTGGAGATCCTCAGTCGTTTTTGATCTCTTGCGGCTTGTTGTCGAGCTCTAATCATGGCAACAACATGTGACACGGTCTCCCCGGAGACAAAGAAACCCAACTCGATCAACATCAACGGGTTTCATATTTCAACACAAAAGCTACCCATTCTCAAAGCCGACCCGATCGAGGAAATGACCCAGAAACTTGGCATTGCACCCCCTGAAATGATTTTTGGTGATAATTATGTTGCAATAGAGCATGAGAAGGGCAACTGGGGCATCAATTTCAATGCGTTTGATGCCTTGGACTTGGTTGACAAGACTGGTCAATCCATGCTCCAGGTCGCGTACTCGGGGGAATGGCAAAAGAGCAGGTATGTTCGCAACCCCCATTTGCGCTTATTTGACCGTGGCAATTAATCGATTTGTACTCAGAGAGAAAACCCATGAAGGGATCAAAGAAGTCGTGAAGCCGTTCGATTGGTCATATAGCACCGACTACAAGGGCACCCTCCATCCTAATGCGCGGCCGTTCGAGCCAACAACGAAGCCCATTCCAATTGAACTATTGAAGCGACCAGACCCCATCCTATTCTTCGATGAGGTTGTTCTTTACGAAGATGAGCTGGCGGACAACGGGATTACCATGCTGTCTTGCAAGATTAGAGTGATGCCAGGAAGACTCCTCTTATTGACAAGGTTCTTCATGAGGCTTGACCACGTTTTGATACGACTCCGAGACACTCGAGTCTATGTGGACTTTGCGACAGGTGAAGTTATTCGGGAATATGTCTCAAAGGAGTGTGAATATGAGAAAGTTCGACAGGTATGTGCGGTCAATGGAAAACGTGAATGTATATCTGATCTGACAATCATCCACAGATGCTAGCAGCAACCAGGGACGATATTCCTGCTTTCTTGAGAGATCCCAACCGACTCTCCGAGATCCTCCCTCTTGTAGAAAAACACTCCGAGCGATTGGTGCTAGGCGATTGAGAGATCTGCACTCCCTCTTCTAGTTATTCGCGGGGTATAGCCAACCATTGGGCCCGGATATAGATATCAGTGTTACTGGGCTGTTCGTCATTTAGGAACTGATCATCTCCACAAACCAAATAAACCACACGATCATGACGACCACACACCTGAACATTGGCCATGAAATGCCCCGAATTCGCCCACATGAGTCTTCTGTTAGACTTAGTTGGTTGGACTACAAGCTACTGCCACACTTAACGATCCAAATTCATGAGACACATTCAAACGATGCAGACGAATATGAATGGGATAGAGCTTGGAGTTAAATGACACTAAACCATCAATTAAATAACCAGCAGGAACTCTACTTGTAATATAAACGTGCGAAAATGCAATCGAGCTCAGTAGTAGCTTGTAAGGATATGTCCCGATATACGCATGAGGTTTAGATGGACCTCATTGTCCCCAGGGCGGCTGTATCGATATCGGAACAAACAATGCAAACGCATTTTATCAGACAAAAAAGATCCAAGATCACCAATCACGAGAGACCAATTCACGAATTCCCCCATCCTCAGCAATGTCATCCAGGAGATTATCAACACTATGGGCGCGCGAGATTCGCGGGTCCCAGAACCTCTGCCTTTCCAGATCTGCTAGTCGCAGCCCGATAACACTGGTGTCCGCCTCCTGCGCGTATACGGAACAACCATTGAAATCGATCGCCACTCGATCATATTCGCAAAGCAAGGTCTCCGACTTGGCTAAGGACTTTTCACGGAGACCCGGAAATGCCGCCGAGACTTATGTCGCGTATGGCATGACACAAAAGCTATTCGAGGCCTGTTCCGGCCAAGCCGATTACAAGATCCCCCAAGCATTGCAAAAGGGAGCGGAGGTCCCGAAAACAGAAGCTGGTGAGGATCTTGGTGTTGGAGAGGGTTGGTGGTATAAAGGTGAGACAACCCCCAGCGGTCTTTGGCTTGGGCTATGATCTGCTTTGAAGACAATCTAATTTCGGGCGTTACTATAGAGCTCGGCCTCTTGCCAACTTTTTCTACCTGGTCCCAGGTGACTTTCCTCCATATGTACCTCCTGACGGTTCGCCTCCGTGCCTTGCCCCACCGGGATAGCGTTACTACCTACTCCCGCCATTTGATTGATCACTTTTCGCATGAAGCGGAACACCGCATGGACACGTATCATGATCTGGGTAGTCGCACTATTCGCAACAAGTATCTGAAGGATCTGTTCATTCAATGGCGTGGGATCATTGCTGCATATGATGAGGGGTTGGCCAAAGGTGATGCGGTGCTGGGAGCCGCTGTCTGGAGAAACCTCTGGAAGGGAAGTCAGACCGGACCGGACGGGAAAGAAGAAATTGACTGGGCCAAGGTTGCCCAGGTTGTGGCCTACATGCGCCGAGTCTTGTCGGAGCTATCAAAGAAGGACGAGGTGGATCTTGTTTTCGCCCTTGGGCGTGGTGGCCAGAAGAACACTGCTATCTTCGAGTACTCGGAGACGGACAAGAAACTTGTTCAAGCAAACAAATAAGGGGATATCCTCGCATAAATGAGTGGGTCACCTGTTAGGTATCCGTTCTGCTGTTTTATATCCTTTTGGTTATAAAGACATGTACAATATTTAATTGCCCTACCCTTTTCGCATACGAAATTTTATTGTTCGAGATCACGACACAAAAAGCACATCGGTGAGCATCCACTGTATATCTATTTGAGCAAAACATGATATAGGGAGAAAGACCTAGTTGTCTTTCTTGCCAAACAGATCTTTCTCCACCATGCCTCGGCAGATAGGGTGATAAAAGTCCTTGTACTTCTCGAATGTAGCAAGGGCGACAGGGCGATTGATCTTCTGGAGATTGCGGAACCTAAAAAGAAAGAAAAAACAAATGGTCGTCAGTAACAAGAACGGAATCTGCGGTTAGGACAGGGGCATCTTACAAAGGTCGCACAAACTTCATCCGTCCAATGCGGCCCAATAGCTCGGTTGTTGGCTCAATGACGCTGTCATCTCCTGCTTTCATACCAACCTGGCAGTAGAGGTTCGAAACCTCGATATTCTCACTCTTGGCCAAACCATAGACATCACCCATCAACTTCGAGATTTGGGGGCTGAGAGGTGTCTCCAGAACGAGCATCTGTTCTAGGAAGACAACCAATTGGTTTGCCGTCAAGCTCTGGATGTCACTGATATGAGGCTCGAAGGAAGAGTGGGGAAGGGACTGCCATTTCTTGGAAAGTTCATAGACAACGTCCACCATCGATGTGTCAAAGCTTGGCTTGGGTGGTAGACCTGGCGCATAGAACCACTTGTCCCAATCCACTTCGTCCAATAGCTTGTAAGCCTCGGCATCTGGCTTGAAGAAGTCCAAAATCAGTGCTTTGAACTCATAGGAGTCGAGCGATTTGCACTTGAAGGTCGTGAAATACTGCCCAAAAGAAAAGTCAATAGAAGAAACCGAACGAGAGTAGAGAGATTGCGTACGTGAGGGATAAACTTGTCAAACCTTGACTTGCCAACAAGATTCTCAAGGTAAAACAAGAAGTTGAAACCCTTCTCATAAGGAACACTTGAGAATGCGTCGTCGGGATCTTTGCCCTTCAGATCAACAATAAGTTTAGTGAACTCATGGTCGTCACCAAAATGCTCGACAGCGTCAGTCAGAGACTTCCATCCAATGATAGCCGAAAAATGGCGATAGGCTTCGCCGTGAATGGCAGCCAAAATCCTTCTCTCGAGGTAAACGGTCCAGCCTTCATTCAACCAGAAATGCTCCCACGAGGCATTGGTAACCAGGTTACCACTCCAGCTGTGAGCTAATTCGTGTGCAATGACATCGATGTTCTCACGGTCCTAGAAAATGTATTAGCCATGGCCTATCTAACCATTGCACAGAGAGTACTACGGACCTTGGAAATGATACTCGGGGTTGCAAAAGTGAAAATCGGGTTCTCCATGCCACCATACGGGAAACTAGGCGGCAGGATCAAAACGTTGTACTCACCCCAGGCATAAGGGTAAACAATTTTCTGTTGTGAAGTCAGAATTGACAATTGATCATTAATATGAATAGAATATAGGCTGTGTACCTCGATTGTTGTGATGAAGTTCTCGGTATCAGCCTCGAGCTCCCATTTGCACTCTTCCAGCTGGTCAGGGCTGGTTGCAACGACACTCCGGGGTCCGATTGGAGCCTCAGCGACATCACTGGGGAATTCTGAGTTAACGAAACAATACTTTTGAGAACGGTGAAGGAATTCTTACCCGCTAGCGATAGCAAAGAGATAGCTGGGGATTGGCACCGACTGGTGGAATCGATACAGTTGATGGTCCGTCGTGGACTCCATGGACGACTTGCGAATTGGCAGACCGCTAGTCATAACCGGAAGCGGAGAGGTGATGTTGAAGTCAAAGGTGGCTTTAACATCCGGAGTGTCCTGACAAGGGAAGATAGACCGCGCGTGAATTGCCTGGCATTGGGAGACTAGGCAATTTTGTCAGCTACTGAAGCTCGAGGGACAGTTCAAGATTATCACATACACATGTATGGATGTTTTTTGTTTGAGGTTTGCGCAGGCGTTAGCCACTGCAACGCAGTGCACTTGTCGGTGGTTTTCACCTCGATCTATAAATTTTTTTAGTTTAAGTGAGATAGAGCTTCATGAGGAGAAATGATTGCAAATCATACATCGACCTCAACGGTACCATTTAACTTGACGGGATTATCAAGGCTAATCTTCAATGGTATACCATAGGGCTCCAGCGAGGGGAGAAACTCCCACTTGGATGGCTGGCCATCCACCTTCACCACACCAATGTCAAGATGGCTGGTATCTAGGATAATCTCCTTGGACTCGCCATCGGTGATGGACTTGAATTGATGGACAACATTTCCCACTAGTTTCTTCTGATCGAAGAGAATATCGAAATTGGCCGTGACATGGGTGGAACGCCAATTGTTGTAGTTGCTCACGGTGTTCGGATCCCGCGGAGGGTTGATAGTAGCCATCGTTCGAATTGAGGTGGATTGCATGAATTGAAATTGTATCTTGATAGAAGAAGAACGTAATATTAAAAAAGGATTCAAGTTCCGAGTCAAGGAACGACCTAAGGTGAGATTCATGAGGAGGAAAGGTTTTTCTTCCCCTCTCATCTCTCCCCATCTCTCTCTCTCTCCTCATCTCCGTCTCTAAGCGTCAACTTCCATGTCTTGGATTATCTACGTTACATTTATATATATATGTATATATATATATATATAAATAAATAAATATAGTATATATATACTATTTATTCAATTTCTATATCTTGACTTATCTCTGAGCTCCTAATAGTTATTACTCTGTAGTACACTGTACAATAACCTACGTAAACCACGTAAACCACGTAAACTACGTAATTAGCATATCCCCTGTATGTATATCGCCCTACGCTAGGGAGAAACTTGCCCTCCCTTTTTCTTTTTTTCCATCTTCTCTCCCTTGAGAATCCAGACATCCAGACATTACTTCTTCTAATCTTTTCCCAACTCATAATCCTTTCGAGATCTCCCCCCCGCATTGTTTTATTTTTCCCTTTCCCATTTGTCCACCGCCCGGCAACCCGGGAGAAACCCCCTGAAGTAGTTCAAGCCCCCCCTGACGAACTTCACGAACTTGAACCTTCAAAAGTGACTATTAGTCTACCCTCTTTTTTTTTTTTTGGCAGATTCAATAAATTCTTGTTATTTGGAGGCGCATTTTTATAAGTGTGGTGGACGCGAAAAAAAAGAAAGAAAAAAAAAACTCCCCGATTTGTGAGTTTGCTTCCTGATCTTCAATGCGCATGATTCCTGATCGTTCTAGGTCAATTGAAATAATGTATCTCAGTCTACTACTTTGAAACTCTCGAGCCCTCCCGATTACGAAGCTATGTATTGAGACGGATAGGGGGGTTTCAAAACCAAGGATACTCTACGAGATATACGACCACATCGACACTCCAAACTTCCAAAGAATGAGCGAAGACACACAAAACCTGGTTGCCGATACCCATTTCTCTCTCCTATTGTGCCTGTCTGGTCGCGCGTAGTGCCTCGAGGGTACCCAATTTCAGACCAGGCTCGATATATTCTAAACCTCGACCGTTATTCCGACGTTTTGCGAAAAAAAATGATTCACCACACAGCAATGGATGATGATCCCAATTCATCATACCTCAGACGTCCTTCCGGTCCCTTCGCATCAGAACCGCCGTCTGGACCGCCTCATAACCGATCTTCCTCTCGTTCCTCGGGGCCTAGTTCTCGGCCTCGAATGGTAAAGCCGCCAGGTGCGGTCACACCCAATGGTCTCGGTGTGCTTACGGAGAATGTGGCAAACTTGTCTCCGGAGGGTCTCGGAGCAACCAGCCCTATCAAAGAAGGGCTAGGCAGTTTAAATCGTTGGTCCCAGTCAACGGCATCTAGCAAAAGTCCCTCGGAGTACATCGGTCATCATCGTCGGGGGAGCTCGAAAATGACCGTGCCAGGTTACAACCGCGGACGGGGGGAGCCACAGCCCCCAATATGCGCAAGGGCTGAATGGGTTGCCGGTGCACGATCTGCCGGAGCTGGAGAAGTCGGCCATATTCAACCATGACTCAGCATCACAACAACTCGATCTCTCATTTGCGGCCTCAAGCCATCTTTTTTCAGCCCTCACCACATAGCCTCAAAACAGATATACCAATGTCTCGGTCCAGTGGTGGGTCCATTTCTTTAAATGATGGAGAAGGGGACCCGGCGGCCATCCAACATGGACAGACCCAAAAGGTGATGTTGTCAAAGGCACTTCAGAAAGCAAATACGGCAGTTCTTCTCGACAACGCTGCCAATTTTGAGGGTGCCATGGAAGCTTACACCGATGCCTGCAACTTGCTACAGCTTGTCATGGTTCGTAGCAATGGAGGAGACGAAGAGAAACTCAAACTGCAAGAAATTCGAGATACATATATGCTCCGAGTCACGGAACTTCATCGGATGGACTTCCCTCTCCCGGAGAGCGACGACAAAGCTCTTCCAGATCGACCCCTCAGCCAAGAGTCATATGGAGAATTGCTTCGCTCGACAAATGATGGATCCCATATTGAGAGCCCGCAGCACTCGCCTCGTTCCAGCTTTGGGTTCCATCAGATCCCACTAGAAGAGACAAGGGGATTTTCCCTGGAAGCGGTTCCCCCGCGGCGGCAATCCTTGAGGCCGTCCGCCCTGGAAGATCAGTCCCGATCTATAACATCGCCGATGGGTAGTCAGAAGGAGAACAATGAATCCACTTCATGGTTGGACACAATTGATGAATCGGGTGCTTCGTCGCCCTCATCGGCAAACTCTAAGGCTTCATCGGTGTACCTTCGTCGCCGGACAAGCCGTCGCCTTAGTAATGACACCGAAGCTGAGTTTGATGCGGCCCTCGATGCGGCCGTGGAAGCTGCATACGATGAAGGTCTGGAGCCGGTGGTGGAGCACAAAGAAGAGGAAAGGGATGATGTTGTTTCAAATGCTCGCAGGAACA